CTGACTCTTTATAAAGTTAAAGGTGAAAAACAAATAAACAAATAAAAAGCTACATCTTGATTTCTTCTTTTTATTCTATTTTTTGAAGGTTGCTCTCCTTGCTCTCATGCACTTTACATATATGCTATGGTTGCACTGAGGGGTTATCTTGAATGTTTCTGTGCTTTGATTTCTAAGATGCTGCTTCTGTGTGTTTCTGAAGTGAAAATTGGATAAAAATGAAAACCATTGCTGAGAAATTCTGACATTTTGAATGTATGATCCCTCTGTTAATATTAAGGCACACAGCATGTTGTTTCTTTGATGGTTCAATTATTATTGATGTTTGTAGATTTTCCTTTGTCATATAGTTAGTAACAGCAGGTTCTTTTTGCAGATGAATTGCTAAGTTACAGCAAGCAAACCTGAGTCTTCAGACCCACAGAAAGTGAAGTTTGTCTTGAAATATGAAATAATTTATACAAAAAAAACAGCACTGGCATTGCTAACTTTAGTGATTATTTTATTAAATGGTCAGTGAGGCTGCCTTTTTAGGTGTTGTTTGTTTGTTTGTTTGTTTGCAAGGATAGAATTCTCACTTTGAATTCATCAAAATGTCAGCTCTTCTGATTGCGTTCATTTTCTTAAAAACATTATCTTTCCAGATATATTTCCGAATTTCTTGAGAAGATTGGCTGCCTCTGAATAGATAGTTTGTGTAACTTTGAGCTTGATTGATCTAGACTCTTCCTTTATCTCTGTAGAGATTCTTTGTTGGCTCAGACTGGCGAGATTGCGGTGTTACAGAATGCTTCTAGCTCCAGTGGTGTTTGATGAAAGACTATAAAGAGAACGTATCCCACAGAGAGGGCTCATCAGCAAGCTGATATTGTCTTTTCTTTGTGTAGAAGTGCTATTTTCTTGAATGTAAAGCAACATTCTCAGAGAATGGATTTTTTTTTTTTTTAATTGGGTTGTAGGTTATCTGTTCCGATATAATTTATGAGAAGTTTGATGGATGCATCCTTGACAAGTAACTAATTGCTCTTCTTTTTAATGCTTTCCTTTTTTTTTTTTTTTTAAAGGAGAGACTGAAATGTAATTAAGCTGTGTGTGCTTTTTCCATTAACTGTTCAATTCTGTGAAGAGCAAACAGCATATAGAACTTCATTTCATTAAATCAATTTGCGAGTTCTATGAGCTCTTATTAAAGCAGTCATCTTATTAAAGGATACCTATCAGTTGCTTCGGGGGTGGAGGTTGAACAATGTTTTATAAGAATTTATTTTAATTAGTGTTAGAGTGTCTCAAGTATAAACTCTAAATTATAAATGAGACATCTGCATTAAGTTTTCTTTCTAAATGTAATTATGGTTATATGAAATAGATCTTGTGAGAGAGCCTACATTATCAATTAGAAGAATATGATGCATGTCTGCTGATTTTTTTCATAGTCATATATGTAATTGTCCCTTTTATTGAAAATCAGAACATTTAGGTTCAACTGACTACTTCAAAAAATGAAATTCTCCTGTGCATGAGCACAGAAAGGGATGGGAAGATTTGTAACAGTTACATACATTCTATTTATTACAAAAACTGGTTAAATCAGTAAGAAAATAGAGCCTTAAAACTGATACCTTGTTTGACTTTGAAGATGTTGGTCAGGAAGATCCTGACTTGTGTAATGGACAACTTCTCAGAGATAGACCAGTGCTTTGCTGTGTTTCACAGAGAAGGTTTCTGTTGTGGGCTGATAAGAAGCCACTTTTCAGTAGTTCCTATGGTCTAGAAAAGGGATAATGTTTCTGGTGAAGTACTTCACAGTTGTTTTCTGTGAAATGACATTTTCAACTTTTTGAGGTAATTTCTTTTTCTTTTTTTTTTTTCTGCTCTGACAAACAGTTTCTTATATACTTCCTTTGTAAGAGCTGGAAGTGTTTGTTAGTAAAGGAGAATAATTTTTAAACAAGCAATTCCTCTTGTTTGATGAAATCTTAAGCATCCATATGTAATGAGATTAAATTAGGAATCCTGTTAAGGCAGTGACATTTGTGGCTGTATTTTAATTTGTTCACAAAATAGAAGACAAATATTACTTTGACACCACCTTAGATCAATCAATGAAAAGTTAAGCTAGTAAGTTAATTAAGGACAATTGGTTTTAGAAATACATATCACACAGAAAACTTATTCCCAGTAAATAAAGCTGCATGTATTTGCAAGTTTGTGAGTTTCTGAGATAACAAAAAGGAAATCTTGAACCTTTTTTCAATGATTTCAATTGATTTCAAGTGATTTCAATGAGAGTAATGCTTTCTATTATAGCTTTATATTAAAATGAGGATCCCTCAAAAGCTTTTTCTGAAATGCAGCAAAAAACAGAGCTCTGACCTTTTAATAATGCCATGAGTGCCAGGGTCAGACAACACAACACAAGTGAGGTGCTAGTTCATTACAAAGTTTTGACTAAAATGCAGAAATGCTAATGTGTGAACTGTGTGGTTTCACATTTTAGGTAAGATTCTTTGCGGAAGTTTGAAGTAGAGATTCTACAAGAGAATAATTTAAGTATTGCCAACTGAATATTGTCTTGGTTGCTTGCTCCTTCCTAGAAACATAAAACACATTCAAATGAATGACTGAGTCACGCCCTGGTCTGCAGAAAGGGGCTCTTGTTACCCTAGACTTAAATGTGCCTGGAGTTGGAGAACCTCAGTGAAAATTGTCCATTGCCTAATACGGAATGGGTGATTCTACTTGATATTCCTTTTACTGTTTCGTTTGTATACTGGAGTGGTAATCTTTTACCATGCGCTTAAGTTGAGAATATGATTTGGAGGCAGGATATTTATGAGTATCAGTAGGAAGGGATTTGGGGTTGTTTTTTTGGGGGGTGGAGGGGAATGATGAACAAAAGTGACACTAGATTAAAAACAGAATCTTAAATTGATTTCTAAGTTACATGGTATTAAAACACAAACAGGTATTTGAAAGATGGTTGTTAGTTTTTAATCCATTTCCTCTTAAAAATCGTTCAAGTCATAGTGAATAGTAGCAGTTTGAAGAGTCCCATCGTATTGTGTTATAGTTATCTACATGAAGAACAATAACAGGAAAAATACTTCTGAACTTAATAATGACTGTGAAGCAGTGAACATTTCGTATATACCTATCATAGTTCTTTTTTTTGTGTTTTTACATTTTTCTCTTCTTTCCACTGCCAGCAGAACTTCTCACATGCCTAGTATTGAAATATCCTTTTTTTTCTCCACATTTTTCCTAGATGAACTTAGCAACTTCAACAGTAGGCTTTGCATTGGTGCTCAGAATAAATGCATCTAGAGTTCTAATTCCCAATTGTTTGACAAATCTTGCATTTTTCAATACTGTCTTAAGTTGGTCAAAAACAAAGAGTCTGGAGATATATAAGTACATATCAGTACATATGCATATATGTTTTTCATCCAAACTCTTTATATATGTATGTGTGTGTATGTGTGTGTTTCATAGATATACAAATTTAATATAAATTATATGTACATAAATTATGTTTATGTATATGAATCATGTATATACATACTGTATTGAGGAATGGTTTTAAACTAAAAGAGGGGAGATTTAGGTTAGATGTTAGGAAGAAATTCTTTACTCATAAAGTGGTGAGACACAGGCACAGGCTACTCAGAGAAGCTTTGGGTGCCCAGTCCCTCAAGGCTGGGTTGGATGGGGCCCTGGGCAGCCTGAGTTGGTTTCCCCTAAGGCAGGAGGTAGGGACTGGGTTGGCTTTAAGGTCCCTTCCAACCCAAACTGTTCTGTGATTCTATGATTAGAAATATATATTATCTACCTCTATATCTATCTATCTATCTATCTATCTATCTATCTACCTATGCAAACTTATGTATATGCAGTTAACTAAAAGTTGTCCCTAGAGGAGGCTACTTGTTAAGATAGATGGAAATAATGTGGAATTTTTTTATTTTTTTTATTTTTTAAGAAAAGAATTATGGCACTATCTAGTGTCACATTTAAGTTCTTATTTTGTATTGATTGTCACTATCTCGAGCTAAAAATGCTGTCTTTTTGAGTGTGTGTTATTCACTTACTACTAGCAGTACTCAGGTGTGCTAAGCAAAGTGGGATCCTCTTGGATATGAGAAAGTTTTTTTTACTGTGAATTACGGAGTAAATCAGTCACGGGAGTGATCTGTTTTTTCCTGGTGTAGCTTAGGAAATTGGAGGGCACAACACAATTTTTCTGTTGGAACTGAGATTTTGGTTTTGATTATGAAGAATCTTGACTTCAAGTTTTGGAAGACTTACCTACTTTTCCAAGAACCCTCTGTCTTCATTGTTGCTTTGTTTATGTTGGTGTTGTCCAGTTTGTCAGTATTTACAACCAATGTGTTGAACTTGTTCTTCAATATCCCTTCTTTTATTGTTGTGTGTCAGCAGCCAGTGCCTCATTTTTCCTTGGTAGTCAAACTTTTTCTCTTCTGATTTTCAAGCCTCTGAAGTCATGGGAATAACACTTTGAATATAAGCACTGAGAACATATACAGGGAAAATCTACTTTTTGAGACAGCTTTTGGAGTGTGTGGAATCTCACTTTAGATCAACTAACACCAATTACTCATAATGCACAGTCTTATGAGTACTAAAGGTGTAGATATGAGCACTGGGGCTGTGCATTGTTTGACAAGTTGGTTCCTAATGTCATGGCCAAATGTGTGGTTTCACTGTTGTTTCTGAGGAATGAGTTCAGCAATCACACAGATGGCATGAATTATATATATATTGGAATGATATTTTATAACATATTTGCCATCTTGCAAATACCAAGATATTCTTAAGCATATTCTATTATTTTTGCTCATCAATTTAGAAGCAGCGGTTGTCTTTCTTTCTACTGTCTTGGGGGAGTGAGAATAGAGGGAGCTTTATCTGAGCTCGTCTTTACATCTTCAGAGTAGTGTTTACTGACATATATGGCATGCTGATTTTTCTCTCCTTTTCAGAAGAGAAACCTGATTGCTCCAAGGCCCGCTGTGAGGTCCAGTTTTCTCCTCGCTGTCCAGAAGATTCCATCTTGATTGAAGGTTATGCTCCTCCCGGGGAATGCTGTCCACTCCCAAGCCGTTGTGTGTGTAATCCTGCAGGCTGCTTGAGGAAGGTTTGCCAGCCTGGCTATTTGAATATATTGGTTTCTAAGGCATCAGGAAAGCCAGGGGAATGCTGTGATCTCTATGAATGTAAACCAGGTAAAAATGGACACCTTTTTTTTTTTTCTTTTTTTTTTTTTTTCCAATTTTCAATTTAATCTATCTAACAAGTACTATTTATATAATTGAATCTGATGAAACCTATGTAGTATCTGAATTATCTTCCAAATTTAGATGATATATGATTTATGATGATGGCCAACATCCTCTTAAAAAATAATAATAATAAAATTTTCTTTATCTTTCTCTTAAAACATTTTATTTAAACTGAGAAACTAGGGAAAAGCAATTTTTAGTGAGAATACTGTGTTTCAACATACAATATAAGTGAGAGTGACATATTTTGTTACAATTTTATTCTACAAAGGTATTTTTTCACCATGTGAATATTTTATGCATAAAACAAATCTTAATTCAGTGCTTAAAGTTTATGTAGGTTACAAGTTGATGACCCTTAAAAATATGGAGCAAGAGGTCTGCAAAAGAACATAATCAAAGGCTTTGTAGCATTTGCAGTGTCTATCAATTTTCCATCGCATGGGAGCACAAACAACCCTTTTCTTGTGATTTGTTTATATCCAGACTTTGTTTAAGATAAGTAATAAAAATAAAGGAATGAAAGCATGCATATAAAATAGTAACATCCAAAATATCGTATGTAAAGAGGTTTGAGTATGCTAAGTTATGCATTTTCTCAAATACTCCACAAAATGCTGTGTACTCTTTGTCTCCCATGCCTCTGTTGTGTTTTTCCTAATGTCCAGTGCAAATCTTCCTATGTAGAAATTTAAGTAAATTCTCTGTCTTGAACAGGTAGAAAACAAAGCTTATAATAATACATGCTCTAGAACATTTTGTCAACCTCAACTTTCTTTCATCTAGGATTAGCAAGCAGACATTTATGAAGGTATAGTTTCCTTGTAATTAGTGCTGTGTTGTTCCTCTCTAAGTTTTCCTGAGTTTATCCACATTTCCTTAAAATGCAATGTTCAAAGGCAGAGTACTATTTTGGATGAGCCTTTGTCAGCATTAAATACAATGGTATTTAGTGTGCAATTGTGAAATAACTACTTCTGGCATTTCATGCAGAATGCGGATTAAGAGTGAACTCTTGAGATTTATTTAGTTTGTGAAATGCTGTGAACCCAAGATCTTTCTGTAGGATGACTACAGAAACTACAATTGTTGGATTATGTGGTAATTCATTTATGTTATGGGTTTATGTGGCTATATATTGTTGTGTTTTTTTTTTTTTTTTTTTGAAGTGTTCTTCATTTCTTATTGGAGAGAGATGCATTTAGGAGGATAGGGGAGCTTTGAAGACATTTCAGAAGGAGACTAAGAGAATTTAAGGCAAGAATAGAGCTTTGCAATGTTGGTTAGGAATTGAGGAGCTAACAGAGAGCAGAGAGTCTGAGACCTTAGTTATCAAAGAAAATATTTTCATTATCTCCCAGAGTTGAGTAACTTATATGATGTATGGTAAGAGTCTAGAAAATGCAACAATCCTTGAGGGATCAAGGAGAAGTGAAAGAGAATGGTAGTAGGAGTCTGCATCAGCTTGGATATATGGAAAAGTGAAGCTGGGGGGGGGATAGGGAGGGAGGCCAGCAGGTTTGAAGACAACAGGAACTAAAGTGTTGGTGAGAGGCTCAGTGAAGTGAGCACTCTTTTGTGTCCAGGCAAAAATGGTTAATGAAAAATGGTTAATGAAAGATAAAATGATCAAGCTACTGACAACTTGCTCACAGTGCCTTGGTTTTAGGAAAAAAAAGGAGTACTGTTACAGGTGAGTTTCTTAGTAACTACATAGCCCAATTTTTGTCAAGTTAGACTTCAGCAGCTGTACTACTTGCATTTTTCTTTGTGTGTATGTGTTTTTGTTTTTCTTTTTTTTCTTTTTTTTCAAACCTTGATGTAGATGTTTGTTCTGTTTGGAGTAGTGGGAAGACTGTGGAAAAAAAAGGAAGTCAACACAAGACCAAAAACAAAGGAAGGAATAATGTTGGCAAGTGTTAGTAGACTACAAATTCCTTACCACAGAAGACTTTTTGAGTTTGTTTTTTTTTAGTGGCAAATCTTTGCAAATCTGAACCATTGCTTGGTTTTCAGAGGAGCCTTGTTTTCAAGGATCGTAAACAAGGAATGTGCTTTCACAGGCAACATAATTTGTTCCTGGTATGTGAAGAAAATCTGAATACTGAAATCCTTTTTTAATATTTCCTCATTTTTTTATTTTTTTCAAATTTGCAAGTCAGAACAAAATGACATGGTTTATGTTATCTAAACTTTTGTGTCATGTTAATCACTATGGTTTCAAGTAAGTTTTCATTTTTTTTATATGTGAGAATAAGCACTGGAATATCTTGTTTATTAAAGTTTTGTATTCATAATCATAGAATTCTAGAATAATTTTGGTTGGAGGAGACCACTAGAGGTCATCTTGTCTGTTCCATCTTTTCCTATACTATTTTGTACCATTTATTCTCTGTGTGTGTATATATATATATAATATATGTATATGTACTATATATATATATGTGTGTGTATATATATATATGTGTATATATATATATATATATATATATATATATATATATATATATATACTACCAAATGTGTAGTAACACACGTGGTTAACTGTTCATGCAGAGTTTCTTATGGAACTGATATTATCTATTCTGTTGAATAGTGTTAGCAAGTCTGTGAAGTTTACATGTGGAAAGGAGAAAATTTCTGCACATTTTTCTACAGACTTAAAATTGAAGTTCTGTAACTTTTGCTGTCAGGGTGTTTGCTCTTCCTTCACTATTGTGTTTCAGTAACCAGCCTCCTTAGAGGTTCTCAACCAGTCAGGAGGTTCTGGTGGACAGAGCCTGCCAGAAGCTAGAAGGTGTGCTTCCTATGGTAACAGTGCTCTTTTATGTCAATCTAAAGGGTTCATGGAATTGAAGCATGAACTGTGTTTGCTTCTGTTCCTTAAAAAATATGACTTTGCTTTTCAATTTACAGTGACATTTGAATTTGGAATCTTCTGCTGAAAGTTACACTTGTAAATATACTATGGTAATTGAGTTACTGAAAGGAAAATAGGAAGTGTTGCCTTAACATTAAATGCTTGTATAAAAATGAAAATTTTCGTTTCAAAATGTGCCAGTTTTTCTGCAACACAATGATCACAATGATCAGAGGCATTAGTATATAATTAAAATGAAGTAGTATCTTGGTAATACCTGTTTACTAACCTCCAGATTAACTTAACATAGATATTCTTACCAAATGTTGCACTGGCAACAGTAACAGCTATGTTACTTATTGCCTGCAAGTCTTTTTTTGTTTTGATATTCTTCCTATGCTCATTTCTGAGATGACACTGATCTGGTGTCATAAGCAACCTACTTTCCCTAACCCCCACGTTCCCTTTCCCTGACGCAGCTCCATGCCGTTCCCTCGGGCCCGTCGCTGTCACACAGAGCGGAGCTCAGTGCTGCCCCTCCACTCCCTGTGAGGAGCTGCAGCCACCATCAAGCCTCTCCTCAGCTCCTCTGATCTGGGCTGAACAAATCAAGGTTTTGAAGAAACCAATGATTACTTATCATCTCTAGCATCAATTCATGGCATGGGAATTAGTACAACTGAAACGACCTTTTTTTTTTTCCTGGTACCTAATCTTCATTTAACACTTGCAATTGTAAATCAGATGTTACCAGTTGGCATCTTTCTTCAGAGAATTTAACATTCTGAGTAGTCAAGGCTTGACGGAAAGTCAGCAGTAAATTTTAATAAGTAGTGTTAGATGATGCATAGGGATCTAAGTTGTGCTCCACCCTGCTACAGCTTCAGCATTGAAAATTGTGTCTGGAATTTTTACAGGCTTGCACGAAGGAGAAAGGTCAGAAAAATCAAGATTTATAGATAGTAGAAAGTGTAGTTACATAACTTCATTCTTTATTGCTTTCAGAAATAGTACACGGTTGTTGCTCAATTGGGTTTTTTTAGATGCTTTCTTAGAACGTGATTTTGAAAGAACTTAGAAGGTGAATTTGGAAAAAGACTTACGAAAATCAATTGGAAAAGTCTCAGATACTTTTCTAACAGAGCTGGAGAAATGGCTGATAAGTTGGCAATGATGGTAAGGAAGAAAGCAATTAGCACTACTCATTAAAAATAAGTAAAAGCAACAGGGCTGTATTGGGAAGTATATGTGACAGTAAAGTTAATGAAGTCATTAAGTCAGTGAGAGAGCTGGTCTAGAAGTCTGGGAATGTTATCTTTTCTGTTACGTTTAGCATATTCTATATTATATTATAATGTATATATTCCATGATAGGTGTGAAGAAGTGTAAGAGGGATGATGGATTGTCAAAGAGAGCCGGAAACAAATTAAATTATAAACATAATGTATGAGTGTATTTCAGGATCCTGTTTTTTTTCAAGAAAAGTGTAGGAAATGAAGGAGGTGTGAAGGGGTTTTGTGGTTTTTGTTTTTCCTCCTTCTTTTGAAAGAAAATGTAATTAACGTTACCAAATGTAGTTAGGTTGTATTATGTTATTAATGAGGGAGGAGTTTAAGTGCATCCTGATCTGAAAGCAAAGGGTGTTGTGTGATGCTTCTTGACTGTTGTAGAAGTTGACTTTGTACTCTTAGAAAAGAACTTCAGGAAACTTTTACTTCTGGGAAAACCAAACCAAAAAACTGTCAAAAACCCCAAAATCTCCCCTGTGCTGAGCCAGTGTTGCACCGTTGGTGCAAATATGGGCTCCATCAAAAGAGGGGTGGCCAGCAGGGACGGGGAAGTGGTTGTCCTCCTCTACTCTGCTATTGCGAGGCCCTATCTGGAGTACTGTGTCCAGGTCTGGAGCCCCCAGTACAAAAAAGACAGGGAGCTGGTGGAGAGGGTCCAGAGGAGAGCCACGAAGATGATCAGAGGACTGGAGCACCTTCCCTATGAGGACAGGCTGAGGGAGCTGGGTTTGTTCAGCCTGGAGAAAAGGAGGCTGTGGGGCGACCTCATTGCACCTTTCAGTACCTAAAGGGAGCCTACAAAGAGGAGAGGAATCAAGTGTTTGAAAGGGTTGATAACTGCAGGACAAGGGGAAATGGTTTTAAGTGTAGGGAGGGGAGATTTAGGTTGGATGTCGGGGGAAATTCTTTACAGAGAGAGTGATGGAACAGCTGCCCAGAGAGGTTTTGGATGCCCTGTCCCTGGAGTGTTCAAGGCCAGGTTGGATGGCGCCTGGTCTAGTATTAAGTGGGGAGGCTGGTGGCCCCGCATGTGGCAGAGGGGTTGGAGATTCACGATCCTTGAGGTCCCTTCCAACCCTGGCCATTCTGTGATTCTGTGAAATACTGTCTTGTTTTTCAGCCTTTAGACATGCAGGCAGTTATTTGGATCTCATCTCTGTACTATGTATGACATTCTTAGAGAAGCTAGTACAGTATGTAAAGGTAGAACTTCATGTAATTGTGTTAATATATTTTACTCGAAAGTTATTTTCTCCTAATATTTATAGTTTTATGATTGGAGAACCCAGGTTTTGTAATTTACAGAGGTGGTTGTGCAGTGCTAGAGGTGAGGCATGGTTTGCAGTCATGATAGGGTTTCTGCTGCATTCTTACAGGAAAAAGAAGTAACTAATAAGAGTTACAAATTCAGTGCATGAATTGAAGATTCATAAACATTGAGTGCAACTTCAGTAATAGGAAATTTCAACGTTTGAGATCTTACAGTGATGTATTAATCAAACTGGATGTCTAAAGCTTAATGTTTCTAGTAAAGGCAATTTTATTTGAATAGGATTTATAATTCTATTAGCTTTCTAGCCCTAAACTTATTCATGAAATGTACACTTTAGATAGTTGCTGGAGCCAACGTAAGACCTGAAAACAAAACTACTATTTTAGTGGTAAATGGTTAGTGTCTCATTTTTCAGAATGATAATGCAGCTAATCTGGGGAAAACTTTTTAAGTAATAAAGAATATAAAGATATATAGAAGTATATAAAGATTATAGATTGTTCTGCTACCTTACATTATTTTCAGCATGCTGGAAAGTTAAGCTAAATACTTTTTGAATTTTGACAAACCAATTTAAACCTGAAATTAGCAGGTACGTTTTTTTTTTTTCCTGCTTCTAATCTCTTACCTCTCTTGACCTCTGTCATGTGAGGAAAGACTGACAGAGCTGGGAATGCTTAGCCTACAGAGGAGAGAACTCAGTGGTAGTCTCATCAATGCGTAGGAATGGTCCCGAGCAGCCTGGTCTAGGTGACCATGTTAGAGCAGAGTGGTTAAACCAGCTGAACTTCAGAGGTGCTTTCCATCCTCAACCGTTCCATGATTAGCTTAATAATGTAATAACAGATATCTCCTAGCCTGGAGAGAATGTTGAGATGGCATATGAGTGTGGATTCTGAGAGTGATGGATAAGTAGATTCATTGTTCACCAAATCCTACTAATCCTAACAAGAATTAGAAAGAATTCTGGTACTAGCAAGGTCTGTGTAAAATAATAGTGAATGGTGGGATCTTGCTACCACAGGAGATTATGGAGCAACTATTTTCAGAAAAAAAGAATTGGACGAGTTGATGCACAACAGGTACGTAGTTGTGTATGAGAGTTTGAGGAGAACATCTGAATAATTTGGAGGCTCGTGGAAGAGGAAGGAATGCCATAAATGATGTCCCTAACTAATATCTCTCTTTACCACCATTGGAGATAACTGGTTAGACAGACCAGTACTTTGACGTAGCATGACGTTTTTCTTTATTCTGAGAAATTCTTCATCTTGTCAGTGTAGATAGATCTAACAATCTGCATTTCTGTTTCACTGTATATATATAACTAAATAGCACAACAGTAAGCCTTAAATATGAAGTGTGCATGCGCAGACACAAATCCAGTGTATTTTTTTTATTTATCTATTTCCTATAATAAATCAATTTTACTCTTTAAGAAGGTTTTAACGGGGAAAGAAATGAAACAATATTATTTTTAATTTCTTCTAAAACTGTGGGAAAAAATACATTCTTAATAATCAAGTATATTTCTAGTAATGAACGTCATTCACTAATTTAATGATTACTTGAGATTGCCTGTACAACTTTTATCATTTTCTTATTAAGTGATACTAGTTGATAACTGAGTCCATAATATTAAAGTGAATATTAAAGAGGATGAAAACCTTTTTTCCAATATTACCCACCAAGCATGCAGTCAATAGATACATTGTCTGATTTAAATTTGAAGACTGATGCATAACTGATTGCTTAAGGTGAATTAATTTACCAAAAATTTGAAAGCATGAGTAAAAGAAATTTCTTCTCCCCTTCCTCTTTAGTGTTCAGTGTGGACTGCAGCACAGTGGAATGCCCTCCTGTTCAGCAAGTGGTTTGCCCACTGGATAGCTATGAAACCCAAGTCAGGCTGACGGCTGATGGCTGCTGTACTCTGCCTACAAGGTTTGTGTCTGGATGGTTGAGTATTCATTTTTTCATTTATTTTTTAATTTTGCAATTCAAAAAATACAGACGCAAGATAACAATGCATATCACAGAGGCAATAGAAGGTAATACAGGACAGAATATATATGCAGTAGGTTAAAAGATTGTCAGGCTTAAATATTAAATCCATCTTTTTCAAGCAGAAGATTCTTCTCAGTGCGAATGCATCAAATTTTACTAAATTTCTTTGATTAAGTGAGTTTCCAGTGTATTCAATTTGTTTTACAAAACAAATCATTTTGAGAAATGTCTTTGAAGTTATGGCAAATCTGACAGAGAAAATCTTACCTAGTTAAAGAAAATAAGGTATTTTTTCTGTGTAGAATCCTGCTGTAATGTGCTGAAAGATGATGACTGTCTGGTACCATAGGGAAAAAGAAGTTTCAGATACTCATTTCATTTTATTTCAGTCTGTTAAGTGTAATTTACTACGTTTCAGGAAAATAAGACAATTCTGAGTTACTTTTTTTTTTCAAAGTTCTGTACCACTGTTTCAACTTCTCTTTTTGCAACAGAGTTCCTCAAACCTGATTGAGTATTATGCCCAATAAATATCTATTCAAGCAAAAGGTACCTTTACTGAAAATATTTTACACAATACAGAAATTATTTCTTGTAGATATGAAGCTAGCGGGATTTTTTGGTATGAAGGTCTTTCACACTGTATGATCTGCCACATACACAGCCACTCGTGAAACTGAAGTAGTGATAAACTTGTGAGTTCAGAAAGAAGCAAATAGCAAAGGCTGTACAATCATGGAATCACAGAATGGCCTGGGTTTGAAAGGACCACAACGGTCATCTAGTTTCAATCCCCCTGCTATGTGCAGCGTCACCAAAAACCAGACCAAGTGCCCAGAGCCACATCCAGCCTGGCTTTAAATGCCTCCAGGAATGGGGCAACTACAACCTCCTCGGGCAACCAGTGCTTCACTGCCCTCTGAGTGAAAAACTTCCTCCTAATATCTAACCTAAACCTCCCCTGTCTTAGTTTAAAACCATTACCCCCTTTTTCTGTCACTATCCACTCATGTAAAGCTGCCGTTCCCCCTCCTGTTTGTACACTCCCTTTAAGTAAGGAAGCCCACAATGACGTCTCCCTGGAGCCTTCTCTTCTCCAAGCTAAACAATCCCTGTTCCCTCAACTTTTCCTCATAGGAGACATGCTCCAGCCCTCTGATCATCTTAGTGGCCCTCCTCTGGACCTGCTCCAAGAGTTCCGTATCTTTCTTGTGCTGGGTGTCCCAAGCCTGGATGCAGTACTTGAGATGGGGCCTCACGAGAAAGATCTTTCCCACTGGGTACCCTTTGGGTACATGTTCAATATAGTAGCTTCTTGGAAACTGTTGTTTACATGAACTATGAGGACAGTGATAAATTTTTACTTTCAAATTTCTTTCAATTTCCTTGACTGAAAATTCTAGATAGGCCAATTAGGTTTGGTTTCAAAAAAAAAAGAAAAAAAAAAAAATTGAGTTTTATACTTCTGCAATGTGCTGTATTGATAAAAATTGTGGGTTTTTTATTGTTGGGTTTTTTGTTGTTGTTCTTTTTTTTGTGTGTGGGGAATGAAAAATAATCCACTTTCATCTTTTTATATAATAATTTAAGCATTCCTTCTGTTAGCGAACACAGAATACTGAAAAAGTCGAACTTCATTTGCTTCAGAAAATGATCATTTAAAAATATTTTCTATTTCTAGAGCACATATGAGAACTGATCTTATATAAAACATCTTAAGCAAACAATTCTTTCTTTGAAATAATCTTTTTTTCTTTCTTTGGTAGTATTTAAAAACATAGCCAGTTGGTTTGATATGTGTAAAATGTAACTGATGTCTGAAATGTACTTGCATGTGTGCATGGTAACTAAGTGATCAAAAGAGTATTCCCATCTCCTGCATACAAAGACCCCAAGCAGGCTCAGATTGTGTGAATTCCTAGATAATTCTGAATCACACTGAAACCACTTGAAAATCTGATTGCTATGCATTTTTGGGATTGGAGTTTAACAGGATCAGGGCTGTGATAGATGTGTTCTGAGCTCTTGGAGCCTTATGATCAGAATTTCTAAGCATGTTTTTGTGTTAATATTTGTATAAAGCTGCAGAAAAATATACTTGGAATAACTTGTCTGGATCTTCAGGTAGGTTGAAACATTTACAAGAGTCTTGTACTTTTCCATTAATTTTAATTTTGTGGCTCAGACTATGTTCTGTTATACAGTTATAGCACAGCTCAGTGTATTTTTGGATTGTGTTAATTTCAATTTTTTTTAATTAATTAAACCAAAGCAATGGGTCACTTTTTAGCAGAGGAAGTGGGAAGGGAAGGACAGCCAAATCTGACAGTGCTAAGACCATCTCAGATGCTTTACTTATTGCATCCTGATGGCGATTAATTGTTTAGAATCACTATGGCACCGTCTTCCTTAAGAAGCACAGCAGTAGTCATACATGTATTGGATGTAAGGGAATTACTTGAAGTGGGGGCAATAAAGGAACATGGGGAACATGGGAATAACCAAAAAGAAATATTAGATAAAGGTTAGAAGAGAAGCATGGGTGTGAAAAAAATGAAAGGGCAGAAAGGAAAACTATGTTCAGCTACTTTGAGCATGAAAATCAAACCATATGAAGTTAGACTGGAAACTTGTAGGATATGAGGAAATATTGGAACTTTATATTTGAAGCTCAGATCATAATGTCCCATGAGGCTTTTGTATCATAACTATAGACGTCAAACAGAGAGGAGGTTTATGGATGAGTGACTCTGTACTTGGAAAGGAGAAGTTTTCTTTAATTTAAGAGTTCCTTAATAAACATGTTGAAATATTAACAACACATTGACTGATTCAGTTTAGAACTGCCTATATCTATGTCATTATTCTTTGCCATGGTTAAACTCAGAAGTAGCATTGTATGCTTTTCTGTGCATTTGATAATAACTTCAAAGCAGAGTGTGCTTCATTAATCTGTAGGTTTTAGTCTTCATTAAACTGTTTTTATTACAATTATTGACTATTTCAAGAAATAAAAATTCTCATTTTCTACTACTAAAATACTGGCTTAACAACGGCAGAAGTGGAAACCAGTGAGTATCATGGTAAGGAACGAATGGCTGCATGCCATTTACTTGATTAACAGCCGACAACTTCACATACAGCAGGAGCAGATAGGTGTATACTTGTCCTTGACTCATTTTTAATATGCAGTATTGTTGTATCCCCTTTCCCAAACAATTTGAAGGTAAATTTTTCCTGCACCCTTCCTTTTTCAGATTTTGGGCATGAATCAGTCACAATGAGTCAGCGTCACAGTCCTTTGTCTCCTTAGATGAACTCTTAAAACATGCGTGGCTTGAATATCTTGCTGTTTGCATGGCTTACTTTACTTCTCTTTGAGAAGAGAGAAGCCATCCAATAGTATGTTCGCTAAATCCCAGTAGGAAGATTGCTTGACCTACTTATTTTAAAAGTTCACACCAGAAACCCAAATATTTTCTAGATTAGAGAAGACTTCAGAAATAATTGGTATGTTTGTTCAACAAAATCTCAAGTAGTGTGCCTTGTGTCTGAGTTTTAGCTTTAAAATGCTGTTTCAAGGTTTTGGTAGGAGAACAAAGGAAAGAACAAATGTAAATGAAACACAAGAAGAGCAAATTACAGACAGACTTTAAGAGTGAGCTATTAAATTAATGAAACAGGAATACAAGTCATAAAGATTAATTAGTTCATATTTCAGATTAAAGTGAAGAATGGCTTTTGACAGATACCATTACTTTCTTGCAAAATTGGAGTCTGAAAGGCTTCAGCTTGAGGGATGGGTGAATCAAGATTTTTTTTATTCAGACCAATTCACCAACACTTAGTTACAGATGGTTGCATGGCGTTGCAAATGCAAAACTTTCAATTGGATAGAGTGGTGTGGAGGAGTAGCACTATAGGCTTATTGTTTAGAAGTAAACCTCTGAAAGAGTTTCTTCAATGAATTAGTCATAGATTTTTTTTTCCTGTTTGAATAGCCTTTGCCCTGTTGGTTTTACTTTACATGCAGTTGCAATGTCTCAATCTGTGGCTGCTTTGAATGGCAATTCCAGAGATTGTTCTGTAGTATCATGAAAAATGATGAAGTTTATTTGACAAGCAAAAGTGTTAGTTCTCTGGGTAATACGCTAAAATGTTGGTTTTACATTCTAGTGACCTACTAAGCTCTTTTAGGGGACAATTTACATGTGTGTTTTGTTTTTCACCTGCATTAAGCTACAATTAGAAAACAAAAAAAAAAAAAACAACCACCACCAGTATACCTTATAGGAGTATGCAACCTGAAATATTTCTTAAAATGATTCTGAAATGTATGCATTGAAAGCAAGAATATTCTCTGTTTAATACAATTTAGGGTGATAAGCTACAATATTTGTCAACAGATAATGAGATTGTTTGAAAGAGATCAATGAAATTTATCCCTGCCACTGAAATTTAACAAATTGCATTTTTCTTACATAGTACCCATAGTACCTATCAGTGATATTAATCTGTAAAAAAAAAAAAAAAAAAATTCTAGTGTGGAATTTCTAAATTATTGCCATAACGAACAAATTCAAACCTTCCATTTAAGTTTTCAAGCATTTAACTGTATGCTTTTTTTTTTTCATATTTTCTTAGAAAGAAGTAGCAATAAAATGGTCTGAGTTAATATTCAAACTACATATTGATAAAAAGCATTAGAGACTGTAATTAGACTAAAAATCATAGAAGGAATATCTTCATTTGATGTTGAACATTAACGTCTGAACATGAAATACTTGATAAATGATGCATCTCAAAGCAAATTTTCTGTATTCTTTGTTGTATTATTTGGATCACACTTGAAATTTTTTTCTGGAGTATTTTGATCTCATTTATAAGTTGAGATATTAAAACATACTGATTTAAAACAGAATGCAATTTTTACTGCA